CCCTTCCCTCAGGCTGCCGAGCGCCGCACCCCGAGTTACGGGCCCGAGCCCGTATTTAAAGGCGTCTGCCTGAGAAGGCGGAGGCTTCATTCCCCCGCAGCCAAGCCCTCCTGGACTCTGCCCCCAGCCGCTGCCCTGCTCCTCCTCCCGCTGCTCCAGGCCCCAGTTTCCTCCAGGGCCCGGGGGCGGGGAGAAAGAGGTGGGGCTAATCATGGCGGGGAGGGGATGGCCCCGCCCCCGGTCGAGCTGCGAGCGAATCGGCTCGGGCCAGCTCAGCTGCCCCGCCCCTTCGCGAGCGTCGCTGGGCGGGGCTAGTGCGCCGCGGGTGCGTTGGGCCCGAGGCTAGTCCAGCTGCAGCCGGAAGGGCTGAACCTCGTCGTCTGGCCCTGGGGCTGCAACCCGGCTGCAACTCGCGTGCTCGCCAGGTCACCCGGGCTCTAGAGCTGCGGACGTCCTAGGGTGGGGCGCGGGCCGAGGCGACCGGAAGGTCCTGGCCCCCTTTCCGGTCTCCTCGGCCCCCTACAGCGCCGCCCTTGGGGTTCGGTTCCCCCACCTCGGTCCCGGGGGACGGATGCTTCTCCTCCCACGCGCTGGAGGCCTCTGGGCCACCGCGCCCTCCGCGCCCGCACCCCAAGCTTTCATCAGATCCCTCCGGACCCGCCGCCTCGGGGAGGGAGGCGCGTCACGCCGGGAGGACGCTGAGTTCCAGCGTGACTGGCCCAGTCCGTGTCCCCGCCCTGGTCCCTGGCAGGAGAAGCGGAACACCCACGCCCTCCCGGCCTACTCTCCGGGATGCTCCCGCGGCCAAATTCGGGATGTGGGATGTGCGAGCCTGACACGCAGCAGAGAGTGCGCGACCTGTAAGTGTCGTGTTGGAGGGAGAGCAGAGCGAACCTTTGGAGTCTGCTGCCTTGTCGTGTGGAGGCCAGTTCTGTCTTCTCTTTCGCCATCCCGAGGTCATTTTAAGTTTGAAATCCAACGTACAAGAAGAAAAAGCCAGGCACAGTCTTGGCTTTTTGTTTCCCACATTAAGAATTACGTGAGGGGCCGGGCTCGGTGGCTCAGCCTGTAATCCCGCGCTTTGGGAGGCCGAGGTGAGTGGATCGCCTGAGCCCGCGGGTTCGAGACCCGCCCGGGCAACTTGGCAAGACCTCATCTCTACAATAAATCAAAAATTAACCGGGCGTGATAGCGCGCGCCTGTAGTTCCATCTACTCGGAAGGCTGAGGCGGAAGGATGGCCGGAGCCCAGCAGGTCGAGGCTGCGGTGGCCGGGAGCGGCCACTGCCCTCCAATCTGGGCGACGGAGTGAGACTCCAACTCAAAAAAAAAGAATTACGTGAGGGACTTGTACGTGAAGTCAAAAAAGCCGTTTAAAAATACGTCATGAGGGCTGGACGCGGTGGCTCATGCCTGTAATCCCAGCACTTTGGGAGGCCGAGGCGGGAGGATCCTTTGAGGCCAGGAGTTTGAAACCAGCCTGGGCAGCTTAGCGAGATATCGTCTCTACAAAGAATTTAAAAATTAGCTGGGTGTGGTGATGTACACCTGTAGTCCCAGCTACTCTGGAGGCTGAGGGGGAAGGATCAGCTGAGGCCAGGAGGTCAGGCAGGGCTGCAGTGCGCTGTGGTCGTTTTACTGCACTCCAACCTGGGTGATAGAGACCCTGTCTCAAAAAATAAAAATTTAAAAAGTGATATTTATGTTAACGTGCCATGGACTCATTGTCAACTTTAAAGCATTCATATTGTATCTAATTTATCATTTTAATTTCTAATATGGTAAATACAGTACCAATAGATAAAATCCACATGAAAGTCTATCAGAGTCTTCAGTGTTTAAACATACAGTGGGTCCTGAGACCAAAAAAACTGAGAACTGCTGAGGTTATTTTCAAGTTATGTTTCATGGACTAGCGTGATGGCTCATGCCTATGGTCCCGGCACTTTGGGAACCCTAGGCAGAAGAATTGCTTAATCCCAGGAGTTTGAGACCAGCTTAGGTAACATGGTAAGACCCCTACTCTATAAAAAATAAAGTGACAGGAGCCCTACATTTTTCTGGTGTTGGGTCAGAATCTGAGGAAAGAATAGCAGAAAGCTAAAGGCAAGACTCTGGGTCTCCCACATTTCCCCCTCCCACTCCAATCACAGCAGTTTGACTTTTCTCTGTGTATCTGCTTTTTATATCAGTTTTCTATGTAGGATTTCAATTTTAAAATAGGTTCCTCTTATAATAATCCTTAAAAGCCATAGATGCATTTATTCATTTACTTCCTCCAAGTGTTTAGTACATGATAGGATTGTGCTAGTCACTAGAAATATAATTGTGGCCAGGCTCGGTGGCTCAGCCTGTAATTCTGTGCCTTTGGGAGGCTGAGATGAGTGGATTACCTGAGCCCACGGGTTCGAGACCCGCCTGGGCAATTTGGCGAGACCTCATTTCTACAATAAATCAAAAAATCAGCCGGGCATGGTAGCGCGCGCCTGTAGTTCCGGCTACTCGGAAGGCTGAGGCAGAAGGATCACCGGAGCCCAGCAGGTCGAGGCTGCGGTGGCTGGGAGCGGCCACTGCACTCCAGTCTGGGTGACAGAGTGAGACTCCAACTCAAAAAAAAAAAAAAGAAATATAATTGTGAGTCAAGAATGATACATTATCTACCTTTGTAAATTTTACTCTTTATGGGTGAACATCAGTTACACATATAAATGTAAAATCACAGCTTTATTAAGGAAAGACATATAGGCCGGGAGTGGTGGCTCACACCTGTAATCTCAGCACTTTGAGAGGCCAAGGTGGGAGTATTGTTTGAGTCCAGGAGCTCAAGACGCAATATAGGCAACATAGCGAGACCTCATCTCTACAAAAATTAGCCTGGCCTAGTGGTGCGCACCTGTAGTCCCAGCTACTCAGGAGACTGAGGTAGAAGGATCGCCTGAGCCTAGGAGGTCAAGGCTGCAGTGAGCTATAATTGTGTCACTGCACACCAACCTGAGTGACAGAGTGAGACTCCGACTCAAAAACAAAACAAAAAGGGAAAAACATTTTAAAAGAGTATACTATAGGCATATCTAATATATGTAGGTTAGGAATGCTTCCTTAGGTTGTGGCAATTTAGCTCCTAAAAGAAATATAAACTTTAGCAGAAATGAAGAAGGTAGAGGAATCAAAAGAGTCAATGTGGGAGAATCAATTTAGGGGCTGATTACATCATCTAGAATTGAATGTAGTAAGTCTAGGATAGTAGCCTTGGAGAAAAAACGCAGTCTTTGATAACATCCCTCCCTCACTTCACACCAAGGGTGTCTTTACCTAACTTCTGGCAGTACAGTTAATTTTGCTGTTGGCAGTTATATTTCAGGGAATCAATTTCCAACTTCTTAAATTCCACAGGTTTTCTTTTCTAAAATTCATCTGCCTGAGAACAGTCTATTTTATAAAAGAAGGGTTTACCTTTCACCTAAACAAAACCTTACTGTAATCCACTACTCAGGCATCAGATTCTCCTGGGTCCCAAACAGAGGGATAAACTGCATTCTGGTTTGGGGGAAGTTCCCTATAATGATTAGTCAAGAATCCTCAAATCCATCTTTCCCCCATTTGATACATATTTTTGTTCCGAGTTAGAAACAGGACATTTTTGCCCATGTGGAAAGTTCTGAATTCCAAACAGAAGACGCCATATAAGTTACTAACCTTGATGCTTTTTTTTTGAGTTGGAGTCTCACTATGTCGCCCAGGTTGGCGACACTCACGGCCAACCCACTCAGTGGCACACTCACGGCCACCCCAGTGTCAACCTGCTAGGCTCCAGCAATCCTTCTGCCTCAGCCTTCCAAGTAACTGGAACTATAGGCACACGCCACCACCCCTGCCTGATTTTGTATTTATTGTAGAGATGAGGTCTTGCCAAGTTACCCGGGCTGGTCTCAAACCTGCAGGCTCAGGCAATCTACTTGCCTTGGCCTCCCAAAATGCTGGGATTACAAACTGAGCCACCAAGCCTGGCCGATCTTGATGGTTTTAAAAGCAAATTGAATATTTTGCAAGTCTACTTAGTTTTTCAAGAGACAATGGTTGAAATTAGACATGGGTAAAAGTTACAAGATTTATTCAGTAAAATAGTTCAACATAGTTATATCAAATCTTGAACTATTTTTTCCACTTGTTTTCATCTTATGCAATGTTTAATAATTTCTATTTTTATTAAATTTAATTTTTTTTTAAGTTGGAGTCTCACTTTGTCACCCAGAGGCTCCCGGTCACTGCAGCCTTAACCTGCTGGGCTCCAGCGATCCTTCCACCTCAGCCTTATAAGTAGCCGGAAATACAGGTGCACGCTACCATGTCCGGCTAATAGTTTTATCTTTTTTTTTTTTTTGAGTTGGAGTTTCACTCTGTCGCCCAGACTGGAGTGCAGTGGCCGCTCCTGGCCACCGCAACCACAACCTGCTGGGGCTCCGGTAATCCTTCTGCCTCAGCCTTCCAAGTAGCTGGAACTACAGGCGTGCACTACCGCGCCCAGCTAATTTTTGATTTACTGTAGAGATGAGGTCTCACCAAGTTGCCCAGGCGGGTCGCTAATTTTTGATTTAGGGTAGAGATGAGGTCTTGCCAAGTTACCTGGGCGAATCTCAAACCCACGGGCTCAGGCAGTCCACTCACCTCAACTTCCCAAAGCGCTGGGAGTACATGCTGAGCCACAGAGCCCAGCTTATTTTTATTGAATATTAAACATCTATTTATATATT